TGTGTGTGTGTGTGTGTGTGTGTGTGTGCGCGTGCGTATGAGTGTATGTGTGTGTATGGTGGAAGGGTGGGGTGGGGGGGGGGCAAAGATGCAAGAACAAAGAGGAAGAGAGCCTATTGGGGGGTGGGGGGGTGGGGGCACTCTAGTATGTCATAACTCTTCGTGACGTTGACGCAGTCTGAACTATTTGATGTTTGCTTTGTGCTCTGTGAACACTGTTATAAGATAATTTTCTGCTACACGTGACTTAATACAAGTGAACTCTATGAATTTGACAAGGAATCGCATTTCTGATACACACACACTCACACACACACAAACAAACAAAGACACAGACACTGACGTGCACACATCCACTTTCACGCACGCACACGCGTGTACACACACCCACACACACACCTACACACACACACACACACACACACACACACACATACTCACACACACACAAACGCACACACATACACAAATAATACAAATACACATACATATTATTATTGTATATGTTTTGCGGCTCCAATTCAAATTTTCAAATCCAATGGGAATCAGCCTCCTTCAACGACCTTGCAAAATCTATTTCAGCGGACAGGCCAAGACAGTCGATAAAACACTTTTCCACTCCGAGATCAAACTCACTTCTTCTAAACGCAAATAAATGGCTGATAGCCAAAACGATACACCACACACGACAGAACTCTCATTTATTATAAATTTGAATTGTATTGAAAATGGCATAAAACGAAACACCGAACTGTATTGTATTGTACAGGGTGACGGTGGTGCTCCTCTGGTGTGTGGTGGGCGGCTGGTCGGCATTTTGTCCTGGGGTCTGGTTAAGTGCAACGGCTGTTTCCCTGACGTCTACACCAGGATCTCCTCCTATCTGGCCTTTATCAATAGACAGCTGTAGGTCGGGGCAGACCGGAAGCTAGGAACACCGGAAACAGAAAAGTGGTGTTCAGAAACTGGAAATGAGGCCTGAACTGTGTTTGGAAAGTATTGTTTTCAGAAGGAGTACACAATTAAAAAAAGTTTTGTGATTATTCTTCGTAAAATGTCTATACTTTTTTTTCGACTATTTGTACCTGTTAATATTCTAACGTCTCATTTTCGCTTCAGTAGCAAAGCACGTGTCACATAAAGGAAACAACAAACTACTCTCTTGTTACATCTCTAATCTTCGGTCCTAATATGAACTTATTGTGTTTCAAGTGACGCACAACTCTTACGAAACCTAAACGTAACAAAACTGACTCTCTATTCTTTTTCTATAGTATCTTTAGAGGAAAGGGAAGGATATGCAAATAAAAAGAATGGTGTTACGGCTTTGTTTACATCTCTCCTGAATAGATATTTCATTTTATCTGTACATACGTAAATCGACATGTCTCAGCAATACAGGGGTATATTTGAGGCTGCAGAAGAGCAAGATACAAAATGTTTTAACACACTCAAAGAACAGAAGCGACAGTAAAAATTGTAGGCCCTACCAGCATAGCACCCTCGAACAACCCTACCCGCCAAGATATGTGGGTAGAACGTACTATTGTGCTGTCAAAAATTCATGGCGTAACTTATTGTCAAATATGTATTTCCTAAACTACTGAACATAGACTCTTCAGCTTTTGCACAAGGATTTGCATAAATTTGTCTTAACTGATCATATTTTTGTAAAGACATGCTAGCTGTATGTGAGAAAATTCCTTAATAAATACTATTTTTTAAAATCCATGTGGGTGATTTCTACAGATTTTAAGAGGTTTACAGTTGGGGCAATACAGCTTTTAAAAGCAAGTCTATCATTTTTTTTCTAATCGTGACACTATCGTTAATGAACGCATGCTTTGAGAACCTTTAGTGCAAGTGCTCACTATGAAATAAATTTCTTGTAGCAAGTTTTGCCATTAAAAAGTGTCATTGGTGAGCTTTGACGAAGGCCATATACGTATTCAAAATGTGTGTGAGAAGCGAGAAGTGCTGTGAAAAATCCCATTTTCTGCGTGATTTATAGTATTTTATATTAAATTTTTAGAAGAAAAAAATTTAATCCAGCTTCAATTGTGAAAAAGTATGCTTAAATTAAGACAAATTGATACAAAGTGCTGTGCAAAGTATGGATAATATCATTCATCCGTTAAAGGGATATTTGAGGATAAGCTACGCCACGAATTTTTGACCACACTATAACTAACAGTAAATTGTGAACAGAAGCAACAAAGACATGAGGGGGTCACATTTTTTCCCGCAGCCACACACAGGCGGCACTTTGTACAAGGAAATGTCAACAGAATACATGTAGTGTGTCATTTCTGTAGCTCCTGGCGACATGAAGAAGAAATGTTATTGCTGAAACCAAATGAGAAGCCTGCACGCTGCGCACATCAACAAGTGGAAGTGGGGTTTTTGTGTGCTCAAAATGTGGAGAAAAAATGCTTTTCACAGCAATAATTGGTCTCATTACCCGAAACTAAAGCCACAAGTCGTCTTAACATTTAATTGGTCTTGCCTAGTTCACCTTAGAAATATCCTCCTCTGCGAATGCATTGGTCTTCGTCAGACATTGACGGACACACTTGTATCCTTAATTGCTGCTACCACCTTTCTGGTACTTGGTACATGAGCAAAAGCCTACGAGCTACTGTGTTAATATCATCAACATCATCAGCTACAATAATAACAGTAACAGCAATAACAGCAACAGCAATCACAACAATAACAGCGATAACACAACAAGTACAACAACAACAGCAACAACAACAACGACGACGACAACGATGACGATGACGACAACAACGGCGATAACTGTAAGAGAAATCTAATTGTCAAAAGCACTTTCCTCAGCCTAGCCCTAATGAGTGGGGAATAAGAGGGATACATTGAATCTAAGCCCACGGCTGATACAAAGATTACTGGCATCTGTGTTGTAGGTGTAATGCACTTTGCAGCCGCATAAAGTAGACGTCGGTTTGGTTACCGTGGTGGGACTTTTTTCTTTTTTTTTTGAGTTTCTCGGTCTTTCTTCTTGGACTTTGAATCCCCCAATCGCCGGGTTGATCCAGACAGACAGGGCCAAAGATGTCAGCGTCCTACATAATATAAGTAATGTCGACGAAGACGTAAAACTTCTATAATTATTTCTTTCTTTTAATTACGTAAAGTGTAAAGTGGTCATGAAGAAAAAACCAATTTGGACAAAATGAGAGAGAAACAATCAAAATTTGAAGAAAGAGAGAAAACAAAAACAAAAACAGTAAGAAAACACAAACAAAACGTCGCCAGAGTTTCTCCCACAACAAACAAATCTGTTTCGTTTCTTATATTTCACTTTTATTAACCAAAGCGTCATTATCAACATCTCAAAAGTATCTCTTTGTTTAAAATCTTGTACATGTTGCCAAAGATCGTACACTACAAGATGGTTCACTCCTCTCTTTGAGCCTATTAAAAAGCGTCTGCAACATAATCGCGGTGACGTCCTTTGCGAAATACAAAAAGCGCGTACTTTGCGAACAGATCTGTGACAGATATTGGGGATCATGTTTTTCCATTCATTCCTTTGCTCGGATGCTCTCAAAAAAGCTACGTTTCCCTGATCTTTCCCTGTTACCCATGTGTTTAGGTTCTGGGCCTACCCCTGCCTCGCTTGCCCTCAATTTTGCCAGTGAGAGCTAGATGTTCAAGACCCTTATAATGTCTATTCAGGTGTACCAAAAACTGCATTTGTCGTTTCCTGGTGGTTTTTAACATTGAGCGTCCCACGTGGCTTTCATCAAGCACCACCTCATTTGATTTCTTTTCCTTCCACGATACTCTTAGCAGTCTCCTAAGAACCACATTTCTGTTGCTTCTATTTCGTGGAAGTATATGGAAGTATATGGAAAATATCAAGGTAACACCGGTACCACACTTGCACTATAGTCGTATCGTATGAAAATTTTATGGCTTGGGTTGTTTTGCTTTTTGTTTGTTTTCTTTTTTTTTAATAAGCTGAGAATGAATGTGGCAACAAGTGAAGCTCCTGCAAAGTCGTTTATAGGCTTTTCAACTTCTAACTTAGAGCTCAGTTTATCTACGCCATTGCTCACGGCTCTTCGTGGACTGATGAGCAGTTAGCAGTCGATCTGCGTGTGCTAGGGGGTACTATCCCTATTCTTCTTCTCGGAACAGCGACTGTAAAGCCAACTGATTTTTTTAAGTAGAGGGTTTACGGCGCTCGCAACTGCATAAGGTCATATGAGCGCCACGGGGTGGATGTCAACAGAGAAATCTTTACGGGGAATCGGGCTTACTCTGCTCACCTCTCTAGCTTTAACAGCACAAGGTCTGTTTTGACTTTCAAGGCACCCCCGGAAATAGCGGGTCACAAGAGTGTAACAAACATGCAAAAGAAATAGAGGAAAAATGACGATAGTAAGGATTAGGAAAGAAAAAAGCAGCAGTTCCCTGTTGTAGTTCAGGCACGGTTATGAGCATGACATTGTTGAATTAGCCCACACAATTCTGCATAAGAACGAGAAATGTCCCCCCTTTGGGAATGGCCTAAAGACACTTCAATCAGTGGCACTGCCCCGGGGTGGCAAGCCAACTGAAGAAAAGCGCGTATGGCGAGGACACTGTTATTTCTGAGTGAACCATCTTGTAGTATAGGATCTTTGATGCAGCAGCCACAAGACAAACGTCGTAAGGAACCACTCTCTTGATCTACTGATTCTCCATGATCCACCGATAGAAGAAAGCTATCCGGGTGTAGACGTCCGGGGAACAGCCCACACATCCTGTTCTGCCCCAGCTCACAAGGCCAGCCACTGTATCACCACACACCAGTGGGCCGCCGCTGTCCCCCTTGGTTGGTTGGTTTGTTGTTATTGTTGTTGTTGTTTTGTTGTTGTTGTTGTTTTGTTGATGTTGTTTTGTTGTTGTTGTTGTTTTGTTATTGTTGTTTGTTGTAGTTTTGTTGATGTTGTTTTGTTGTTTGGTTGTGTTTTGTTTTTGTTTTTGGAGTGGGTGGTGGGAAAGGGAGAAGGGAGGGGAGACGAGAGGGGAGAGGGAATGGAAAGGGGGGGGGGAGAGAATCAGAGGAAGGGGAAAGGGCCAGGAACCGGGGTTTTGTTGTATGGTTGGGATTTGTTTTTGTTTTTGGAGGGGGTGGTAGTTGGGAAGGGGAGGAGAGGTGGGAGGGGAGAGGGGTCGGGTTGGGAGGATAGAGAGGGAATAGGAGGGGAGGGAATCAGAGGAAAGGGAAAGGGCCAGGAACGGGGAGAGGGGAGGGAGTGGGAAGGGGCCAAGAACGGGGAAGAGAGGAGAGGGAAGGGGACAGAAACGGGGCAGATGGGGAGAAGAAGGGGTGGGGTGGGATTGGCATTGAAAAAGAATAGTTTTACAGTTGTGCATTTTGTTGAATACAAAAAAATATTACTTTAATGTACATTATGTGCTTTCATCCGACAGTTAAAAATATTGGTCTCCAGGATTAACACGAGATAAATGTATAACATAGCTTTCTCTTTCTCTCTCTCTCTCTCTCTCTCTCTCTCTCTCTCTCTCT